GTTAATTTTCAACTAAACCTATTGTGGGTTCATTTTCAATTCAAAATATTTATGGTACAGGTCTGACATACGAAAGAAATTGGGCAAAAGGCAGAGTCTATAAAAGCCCTCCCCATAAATATAAACAGAGCATACATACATTTATTATGATAGTAAAAATAAACAGTCTTATATAAAAAAAAATATATAAATATATAAGTAAAGTGTGGGCTCATGCTCCACAGGTAGGTCCTCAAGCGACTACGCATAGTGCTTACTTACATTTCGTATACTTACATTTAACCCAAAAAAAATCAACCATATTGCCTTGCTTGTAATCAACCATTTATTGTCAAACACATTATGATCGAATACATCGACTTTTAACAAATTCGTGAAAGGTTCTATAATGTAACAGCATTAAAAAGTTTATTTGATACGGTCTCCGTGCCATCAATATTTTTATTTTTTATTTTATTCAATCAAACTGTGCAAAAATATATAATACCATTCGGAATGAGGTCTAAAGGGTTTGGTATGAATAGTCAATACTTAGATTTGTGTTAACACAAACAGTCTGTTTTCTGTTTGTCAAGCAAAGCGTGCAAAGTTTGCAAAATATGCAAAGGTAAAGTGCGCTTTCCAAAGGAAACATATGTTTTCGAAAGCTCGCAAAATAAGTTTTAAATTAATGTTTGTGTTCGAAACAAACTGATATGATACGATGTTTTGCAATTTGTTCGTTTGTTATTGATGCTTTCCTTTGCACATTTAAACTTATAGTTTAATATGGTTGTACCCCTTTTTTTAACGTTTGTTCTGTTAGTGTTGTTTAGCCATAACCGACTTAAAATGTATACTGTCACCTATTTTTGCAAGTCACGTACCATATATACTGTCACATATTACTATGGTAATGTACTATAACTGTCATCGAATTTTGAAGGTCATGTACCATATATAATGTCACATAGTGCTATGGTCATGGGTTATATATACTGTCAGTGATTTTTGAAGGTCAGGTACCATATTTACTGTCACATAGTACTATTGTCATGTACTATATATACTGTCACTGATTGTTTTAAGGTCATGTATTTTATATACTGTCACATATTACAATGGACATGTACTATATATACTGTCACCGATGTGTTTAAGGTCATTTACAATATAAACTGTCACATATTAATATGGTCATATACGATCACTGATTTCTGAAGGCCATGTACCATATATACTTTCACTGGTTATGAAGGTAATGTACCATACATGTCACCTTGTAGGTAGAGCTATTTGTTCCACTTTTTGTGGGTTTTTTTGTTTCTTCATTTTTTATTTATTTATTTTTTTTTGGGGGGGG